CTTCTTATTCCCATAACACATTTTGTGCGCGTTCACTTCTCCGCATTCAGTCCGTGTCATTACCCAACCCAACCCAACAAGCCCTTTGCCGTCATTTCTCAATACAAAGCGTCAGCTCTCCATCTCAAATCACTCCTTGTCCACTCCCCCTCACTCCCTACCCTCTCCTCGACACTCCTGGTCCAGTCCCCTTGTCACTCCTGGTCCAGTCCCCTTGTCACTCCTGGTTCACTCCCTTTGTCACTCCTGGCTCACTCCCCTTGTCACTCATTACTCTCTCACATTCTTCTCTCTTTCAACCACATTCCTCTTCCAACACTCTGCTCGCATTCTCCGGCGCATCTCCCGAGCCAATTCATCGTCCCTCCTCCTGCTCGCCTCTGCGCTTCCTCCAGAGCGCGACCCTTGGCCTCTGCCTCGACCGCAGCGTCGTTACTGTCGCCACCCTCGCGCGCGCGCGCGGTGGCGGCCGGGGTCAGCGGGACGTGATCCGGAGCCCCCGGCGCGCGGAGATTAATTAGGCGGCCGTCATTAGGCGGCCGGTTAGTGGCCTCATTTGGCATCGACCGACCGCTCCTCCCCCTCCTCCTCCTCCTCGGCGCCCACGCCACGCGGCAGCCGTCACTCGCACCCGCCACCCCCCAAGGCGGAGGCGTCTTCGCGGCGACATGGGGATGCTTTCAAGTACACCACGAAGGGCCAATGAAATGCAAATACAGCGTCGGTATTACAAGTTTTCAATGCGCGCAGAAATGTATAGAAAGACTGTGCAGCCTGCGGCAATGTGACAGGTGTCTATGTTGTTAAATGAACGGAAATCCAGAAAAAAATCAAAAAATGAGAAACAGTCTCCGTTTTTTACTGAAAATTTAAACATTTGAGTGTGTTATTTCGCCTATTGCGCGTACCTACTGAATTCTCGTACACAGTGTGACTTGGCTTGCGACAAAGATTATGTAATGCGACAGTAAGGCTCCAGAAAGAAGCCGCTTGTCTTTAAATGTTTGTGTCGTTAAATATTAATGTGTAGCGTTATGAAACATTTTTAATATTATGGTGTGTAAATAACTGTTCTACCGTACATGCTATGTTATGTTATTGGATTATTCCTAAATACTGTTTTTGTAAAAATATTTAATTTAGTTCAGAGTTACACAATTACATTTGCTCTTGGAGATGTGCGTGCTACCTTTTTGAAAACTATTGTATGTTGTTTCGTTCAGCAGCATTTTTAGTGCTGCCGGGCACATGCTATTCACAGAATCCATAATACATAGATTTTGCTTAAAAGAATTATAGTTATCGTACCAGCTGCTTTGTGGGCAAATACTGAAGTATGAAAGAAAACTAAATCGAATTCTAAATTTAATTCCGCATACTTGTTTCATCTTCCCAGGTAATGGAGGCAAATTGAGCAGATAGCTGCATATCTCCCTCTCAGATTGACGACAGTACAACTTAATTTAGAGAATTAGACTTGCTTTAAGGATTTTCAAATTCGATTTCTTCAGTATTTTTTATTCAATGTATTAGTTTTACGTTGGTATGAGATATTTACTTGAATTAATATGCTTAATACTACTTTTTAGAAAAAATTACAATTCAATGTTTTTAATTTTTTTACTTGCGATGTTTTTTTTATTCTATTGTCAATATTGGTATCGTATTCCGATATCAGTGGTAATCCGTTTATAAATATGCGTCATTATTTTCAGAAATGGAAGGAAATGAAGGCTCGTAGTAGTTCTAAAACTCAGAAATCGATAGCTTTAGTGTTTAAGTTTTCAAATTATAGGCAATTCGATATAACCTACTCTGGTTCCTGAGCTCATTAATTGTGGGAAGTTAGCACGCGGTTTCCCAATGGCCCAGTCAATTCCCAAATTCTCAATCGGCAAGTTTCGGCCTGGGAGAGTTCGGACACAGGAAGCGCCATCGGGTTTGCGGTGATGAGAATAGTGTGAAGTGGCGTGTTGGCGGCCATGCAGCCTATTGTACAGATCGTTATGGACCCGAGGCAACTAATGTTGGCTGTAATTGCTGTTCCTAAACCGATGAACTGACCGAGGAAACCGCAGTGAGAGGAAACCAGTTTACAGATACACCGGGGAGACATTCCAGAAATGACCCACCCGCTCCAAGTTGCTGTTGCATTTGTGCCCATTGGCCACTTCGATGCCGGAGATTCAAACGTGTTTGGGATGATGTTGTTCTACAAATGATTTCGTTTCCTTCTGTTACTTTTATAGTTCATGAAAACCGGGAAATTATGAATAATACGTTTTCGTCCTTACGGATTAATGTTGCGTATACAGCTCTCAAATGAATTCGAAATAAGATGGCGACAAACAAAGAAACGTATTTAAACTTTGTTATTCAATCGTGTGTTATGCAAATGCTTGTCGTTCATATACGATTTATTATCGGTCCCCTTTGTTTACTAAAAATAAATACATAATTGGCAAAATACCTAATTGGACTTTACGTAATTGGACCTTACTACTTGGATCTTATTTGGCCATATTTATTTAATTGCTTGTCATTATTGTATGGTATTCTAATATTCACTAAACCATTTTTATATAAAATACTATTTCTGTATAAACAATTACTGTATAAAATTATGCATTATTTACTCTCTTGTTTATACGTAATCACCGTGGTCGCTTCTGAAGTGTGAAAACATAACCTCGAAACAACCTAACCTTAAAACGCCTAAAACGTTGATCATCGTAAATGCACTGTCTGGGACACGCAGAGTACGAAAGTCGACTACGCAAGAGGATCCTCCGGGGCTCGGCGCGAACGCCTCTGAAATGTATCCGAGTCCTTTCATCTCGTTTCGTTCCTTAGGCCCTCGGAAGACGGCGACGGCGTCGACGCCAGATGCGCGTATCTGTCTCGTTTGCACAACGCTTACAAACTACAGGCCATTGTTACAATGCACATGCATAATCTATCAGTCGTCGGTGCATAAGGAGCAGCCGACCTGCTTCGCCTGCCGACTCGCGACTTCCCTACTGCGCCGTATTTTTAAACTGACTCCTTTCTGTCTGAACCTTGTGCTGCTGATGGGAAGAAAATGTAACCTTCGTCTTATTCATGACTTACTGACATGACTCTGCGTAGTCTGTGTGTTTGTTCGTGTTTCATTTGATATGTTTATCGGCTTGTTATCTGAACTTTGTATGAGCAAGTAGGACCTGAGAGAATAATAGTCAATGATGGATGATAGTGCATGTTTAAAATATAACGAGGCCGTCTGAGGAGAGAAAAATATGTAAAGTTACAATTCATGGTTACGTTTCTTTCAAGGTTGTGCTCAGAGAATAGATACATTTTAATGTTGTCAAGTTGGTTTTCGGCGCTTGAAATTTTTATACACAAACTGTATATTTGCGGGGTAGGAGGAAGCTTAGTTTGAGCGAGAAATCTAAATTAAACAAAAAGGTAAGAACATATCTTTAAATAGGATGCGCATTCGGCCATTGGAGGGAAATAGTATACAAAAACGTTGATCATACGGTTCATTGGTCACGAACGAAATCTAAATGTTATATTTGCCATAATACTGTTTTCATACCCATTTCACATAGACGTATGGGCATTTTTTTTAGAAAATCTCGACGGAACAAACAATTAATTGAAATAATTTATTCATTGCTGAATGTAATTGCAAAGCTCTGTGTTTTTGTTCCTTCATATTCAATAGATAATCTGACAATTATCCCGGAGAACTGTATCTTCAAAGAACACTCACATCAACAGTGAAGTGAATGCACTGTTTTTTAAAGACGGATGTCATACTCTAATGCGTTGTCTTCTTTGTGTATTGATGAGTTATCTCGTGTAAATATATTATTTATCGTTTTTTTCTCGTTTTGTGTTTTATTTACTTTTAATAAGGCGATCGAAATGAAAAGAATCATTTTCTACTATTTCAAAATAATAAGAGATTTTTGTAATAATCAAGTGTGCTTCATGAATTGAAAATGCCAGCCCTCAACCAAAATGCTACACTCTTTAGTTAGATACATTCTTTGTGAATGTGGATTGGATCATTAAACAATATTTTTGTTGTTTAGTGCATTTTGTATAGTGAATTTTACAATTCGATATATATGTTTGTAATTTACTCATCAAAAATATTAAATGTTTATTATTAAAACATCATTAATGCAACGATTTTTAAAAGTGTCACGGTTTTGTCAAAAATAACAATGTTAAAAATTCTCCTCACTCAATCAATTTTTACTTTCTGGAAAAAATATAAAATTGGGAAATGTTTTGATGCAGTGATTGACAAAAACTAATTTGTTTATAGGATTACTAGTACGTAGTATTGACAATGTTAGGTATGAAAAGAAAAATCGCTAAAAGCTGAAAGTAGAAAGTAACAATTAATCAGTAGCTTTTGAAGGACACAAGACTAATTACTTGTCATGTAACTTGTCTATTTACAAAACAAAGTATTCAATTTTCATTCATGCTTTTATCATAATTTAGAAATCTAAGCATTGATGCAATTCAGATATTCTAGGATTGGGTCTCCTCAGGATCACCTCTTATAACTCAGTTTATTAGATTAACGAAACATTGTATTGGATCTTCTTACCTTTCACCTTTATTCCTGTAATAAATAAGCATGGAAACCATTAAATAAAAATTGAAAATATGTTAATACGTTATTTTCTTTATTTACAGGTAAGAGAAAATGTAGTGACCTTTTAGGAAGCTTAGATTATTTTTACTCAATTAGGTGAGTACCTACCATACTTTTTCAAGAACATCACTCCCTATTATTCAATAATTCCGCGATTTACAGAGGATTACGAATTTGTGTCCTAATTTTAACGAACGGTGAAAACCAATGATACGGAAGAAAAAAAAAGTCGAAGCTATCAAAAGAGTGACCATGTATTCATCTCACCTTTCTCATGCAGACCCGCCGTCCAACTCCATGCTTTTCTACTATATTCGTCGTGATATATGTAAGAGACGTTTGAACACCGGCTCATGTCGTATACGAAAAACAAATAGAATATCTGAAGCACCCTTGAAAATCAATCGAAAAAATTTATTCGTAATTATTCATAAATAATCATAAGCGGTAAATGATAGTAATAATTATAATAAATATTATGCAAAAAACAAAATTTTTCAAAAATTTATCCGTAATTACGAAAATATCACGAAATTTAACGAGTGTTATCCTCAGAGAGATTTTTATTTTTCTCTCATTCCATCTATACCATTGGGTACGCTACGGAGAGTTGTAAAATACACTTTCTCGGGAGAGACCTGTGGAGCGGTTTGGGCACTGCGAAGGCCACGCCAACTTAATGGGCGTCACGGAGCATGAAGAGCTCTTCATTCCTTCACCGCAGCGCCAGCGCAGCAGGTGTCACCACCAGGGAAAACACTGTGCACTGAACATGCTCGTGGAGCTTCGACATAGAGACGATGGATATCCTCGAGCGCCAAAGAAATTACGGAAATGGTTAACAAATAACAGGAAAATATCTTTTGAGTTTGAAAGAATTTGAACGCAACTAAAAAGTAA